CCAGATCTCTCTGTCCCTGAGGTGTCAATTTGCGGCCCCTGGGGAGAGAAGGGTCATGAATCCCTCCCAGGGTAGTGCAGGCTCTCACCCCCCTTCCGGATGTGAGTCAGGCTTCCCCAAAAGGCACCTGGCCATACGACCATATGCTGCCAGCCAACTCCCACTGAGGACCCCAGTGGGCTGCATTCTAAAGAGCTTGGGGTAGGAGTGGGAGCCCCCCCGGGAGCTGACAGGGTGTCGTTTGTGCAAGCATTAGATCAAAAGCCCCGAAAAATCAATCGGGCAAAGTTAACGAGCAGGCTAATGAAAGCGGACAGTCGCTAAATTACCTTCCTGGAGCCCAGGGTAGTCAGTTAGAGAGGTGGGAGTGAGGCCTTTAGCCATTTGCTTTTCTACAGAATCCCCTGCCCACCAGAGGGTCAAGTACAGACAGTGCAGAGACCTAGCTCCTCTCTGCGTGTGGGTAGTGGGGACGGCCCTCACTAACTTTATTATAGGTGGCTTGACCCCAAGGCTCCTCATCACCCCCCTTCCCCACCCATCCTGATCCTTTGCTTACCCATCCTGATCCTTTTCCACCATTTTCAGCCCCTCCAGGGCTTGGAGGACTCTGCGGGCCACGCTCTTAGAGCCTCTGCTAAAGTGGCTGGGCATGACACCATTTCTCTGTCGTCCTCCATAGATCTTGGTCATGGAGCCAACCCCAGCGCCTCCCCGAAGGTACAGGTGCCGCGCTGTGGAAGCTGGGTGGAATGAGAGGGAAACTTAGGGGCCCTTCTCAGGCAGAGAATACTCTTCCCCACAGCCGAGGGAAAGGCCTTGCCACACATAGTCTGTGTGTGGCAGCCAACTCACCATTTTACAGCCAGGGCAACTGTGCACACACTAAAACCCGGTGCCCCCCCTCTCCCACCATGGCCAACCCATGCTGCACTCTGGGCCCAGCCTAGGAGACAGGGACAGCCAGGCAGTGGAGGGACTGCCAAAGCCACACTGCTAAGGCTAGACCTGAAGACTGTAGACAGAGCCTTGCAAATGTTTAAGCCACAACTGTCCACCTCCATATGCCTGAGGGGCAGGAGAGTGAAGAAGGGACCTACTGCCACTTGAGTGCAGCTCTCTGAGCCCTCAGCCCGAGAGCTTGGGGTGGGGGGAAGGGGGTCAGGACTGAGATCCATGCAGTGGATGGTCCCAACCTGGCATGTCTATCACCCCCTCCGTGGACTCGGGGATTCTCTCCCTAGATGGGCTTGGTTAAGTCCCTGGCCAGCTTCCTGGGAAACGCTCATTCCTATTCATGCGGAGCATGCAGTCGTCTGGCAGCCCTGTGCACCTGCTTTCACGTCCTCCCATGAGATACTAAGATGCCCAAGGAGCTGGCCTAATGTTGTGGCCCTAGCAAGTCACCTACCCTCACCCAAAAACCAGGAGTAACCGTCCCTCAGACGAGGGTTACTGCGAGGACTCCATGCA